ATGAAAGCCCGTTGGGCAGTTATTTTGTTGATGTTAACTAGTGTTACATGCTGTAGATTCAGGATGGACATTTATAAATATATAATGCATGTAATATCTTTTGTAATACGAACTCTAATGTATGGAAGTATACCGATTCTATTATGTTCATTCTCTTATGAGTTGGGTTAATTATATTATTTTGGGGGCGTTACAAAAATTCATAATTTGCCCATATGATATACTACTTTAAAATATTTTTTTTTCTCCACAATAGTAAATTATGGGTCAATCTTTTATGATATAAGGGGTGTTTGGGAATGATTTTTTTTTTAATTTTTTTTACTAAAAGACAAATTGGTTACAAAACCAAAAAAATAAATCCAAACAAAATATCATACCAAACCCTGTAATCATTTCACTTTTTCTCATAAACATCACATTCAACCACAAAAAAACCTAACTATCTTTCCAAACACAAAATATTTTTTCTCCAATAATATCCTACAACTACAAAAACCTACAAAAAAACACACTTCCCAAACACCCACATAAACTTAAATATCTATAGATTTTGCTTATTTTTTAAATATATCAATAAGTTGTAAAACACTAATTTCACACCAATAAATAAATGAAAAAAATAACAAAACATATAGGTAAATAAGTTTGATTGATAAAACTGACTAGTAAATTTTCCTATAACTAGTTGTAATGCACGTGTTGCATGTGATTTTTTTTCTTCTTGTTTTTATGAAATATAATAATTAAATAATATAGATGGGAGATAAATTTTCATTATGTAAACAACAATTCAAAAAAGAATCATTTATCAAAAAAATTTAAAGTTATTATGCACAAATCATAGATTATTTGCTTATAATTCTCTTAGTCTAAAACAAGCAGTCACTTACAAGTATCAAATGCTTTGACAACACTTATAGGTGCAAATGTCATCTCGTTCTAATACAATTGAAAGTACATGAGTTGTTTTTTTAATGAGTTTCTGGCCCTAATTCTTCGAAATGTTGATTATTTGGCTATGTTGAAAATTATTAGGTAAACTACCAATAGGTCTTAATAATTAGACTTAATTCCCATCAAGTCCTATTGAAAATAAGTCTTGAAAAAATTATCGTTAAAAATAATTTTTTTGTGATAATTTTTTATGTATGTTGCTAAAAAATGACAATTAGTGACTTTTTTTTGTCATAATTTTTATAAATTATCGCTTAAACTTATAATTAGTGCTTTTTTTACTACAAATTTTTTCCATTAGACCTATTAGACAATAAGTCTACTTATTACGATCTACACGTAAGTATCCCATGATTATTTGACTATGACATCAGCAAAAGAAAATCTAAATCCTAAGGGGGGGGCGGGGGGCATAAGAATGATAAAATAAAATGAAATGCATAGTTAGAGTGAAAGGATTTATTAGGATTAATGCTCTATTGTATGTGCAAGAAGAATACATGGGCAAGAACAATTTAGAGTTTGGAGCATATTTATTCAATTTAACGATTAAGATTACAAATTATTATTAATCTTTACAATGATAGGAACAATGAATTCTTGGTTCTGTATAGGGAAATAACATAACCTTTAAATTTTTATAATTATTTTGTGGGAATATCGCGGTGATGAGATCTTATATCTCGAATTATGCTCTTTTGTATCAACATGAGTGAGAAATGTGGTAGTCTTCTTAACCATAATTTTAGGAGTGTTTTGGGAAGTTGGTAAAAAATTGACTTTTAACTTTTTACCAAGTTTTTTGACTTTTTTGGAACTGATTTGGGAAATTAGTAAAAAGCTGGCTTTTTTTATTTTTGGTTTAATATTTTTTAAAAGTGTCACATCGCTCCAAAATATCCTTATTTTTTGATTTTTGAATTAATTAATTAAAATGTTCCAGAGGGTAGTTTGGTAAATTTGGGTGTTGCTTTTTTGGGTCTTCCCAAATGGTGGTTCAGCTTTTTTGGCACTTCCAGCGTTAAGCCAAATGCATCAAGAACGCTGCGTTTTTGATAGGTTCCCAAAACGGCACATAATTGTATTTTTTAGAGGTTGCTTTATGGTCAACTTGTTAGTTCCAAACCTCCTACCAAGCTTTAACTTATATAATTTTAAGGGTAAATTATACAAATAATCCTTATAATTTACACGATGTATCAATTTGATTCATGTTATTTTAATTTGCTTAATTTTGTCCCTTAATTTAACGGATTGTATCATTTTAGTCCAATAAATAACGGTTGTTGAGTTTGATAGACAAAAAGTCAAACTATGTGTCAATTTGGTTCCTATAGTTTACAAAATGTGTCAATTTAGTTCCTTTCAAAATCGAGCAAATTAAAATAACAGAGACCAAATTGACACATTGTGTAAACTACAGAGACAAAATTGATAGATTGTGTAGACTTTCCGTCCACCAAACTTAACAATCGTTATTTATTAGACTAAAATGACACAATCTGTTAAATTAAGAAAAAAATCGAGCAAATTGAAACAACGTGGACCAAATTGACATATTATGTAAACTATAAGGACCATTTGCATAATTTACCCTAATTTTAATTATTTTTTGAACAACTTTCTTTCCTTCAAATTGAAAGATCTTATTACCTTTTAGATGGGTTATTCATGTGCCTTGTTATTAAAAATCAAAATATTAAATAGCCAAACATTTTTCATTAATTGACCGCTCAGTACGCCGATGTGTTACGATTATTCAGCCTCCGTTTGGAAAGTGGGTTGGTTTTTTAGTTTTTTGACTTTTTTGCTATTTTAGCCTGGGGCTAAAAAGCTTGATTTGGGAAGAGCTTTTTTGCTTTTTGACTTTTTTGACTTTTTTTGTGAGAGATGAGTGTAATGATTATGAGTTGAGTTTGATATTTTGTTTTTCGTGGCTAAAATAATCTATTTTATTTTTTGTGACTATTTTAGCCCCTAACCCACCAAAACCAACTTCCCAAACTATGCCTCAATCGGATACCGGTCATTATGCCACTAAAGTATTTAAACAAATATTATTCTAGTAAATGAACATCAATTTCGATGGAATTTCTCAAAACTGCTAATAGAGTCTTAATTGTTGAATTTGTTCAATACATACAAAATAAACAACTATATTAAATTTGAAATAGTTCTACCTGAATTGATGCAGTTTAAATGAAAAATAAATCAAAATGTGCTTCTTTTATTAAAATGATCACATAAAATAGAACATGGGGTAATATTAGGCTTGGTTTGGCATCTAATTATGAAGTCATTTTTTTTTTTGATTTTTTTTCTTTAGTATTTTTTTCAATTTATTTTAACTTATTTTTTTTTTTAATTTTAAATAAACCAAAATGTGCATTTTTTTTATTTATAAAAATGATCACATAAAATAAAATAGGGATAGTATTAGGCTACCTATATGAGGTTCATATCTTTTGACAATTAAGACCTGGCTTGGCATCTAATTAAAAATTCATATATTTTTTTATTTTTTTGTTTTTATTGAAATTTTTTAAATTTATTTTTAATTTAATTTTTTTTTACATTTTTGGTCCATTTAATTGAGTATAACTTTTTCTGAAGTTTTTATACATATATATAAAAGTTTACTAAAAATGATAAAATATGAAAGAACAACAAGCCAATCTAAAGATAGTGACAACATTTTATGGGAAATTACTGATTACAGACCGAATATGAAAGAATAGATTCGTGCATCAGATTTGAAGAAACAATTTTATAAATATCCATTGGTAGGGGGAGAATTTTGATTTTAATAAAAAATATATACATAAATTTGTTTTTTTTTTTTTTTTGATGTATCAATAAGTGGTAAAATATTTATTTCACCTCAATATGTTTTGAAAGAAATTAATAGACGAAAAAAGAGTAAAATATATAAGCAAATAAGTTCGATCAATAAGATCGGTTAATAAATTTTCTTAAAATTAAGATTATGACCTATTTTGGAAGTATGTTAAAACCTATTTTTGGCCTTTTTTAATTATTTAGAAAAAAATATATATAAAAATGTAAAGAGATAATCACTGTGTTTGGTTTGAGTTTTTTGGATTAAGTTTTTTGAAAATTGAGTTTTTTGGTTTTCGTATTCTTTTGTTTTTAGTGAATATTTTTTAAATTTTAAATTTTTTTTTTACTTTTTTAGATGCACCTTAGTTAAGGTATCTAAAAAGTAAAAAATTTGTGAAAAAATATTTTAAAAAATTAATAAATACATAGAAATATAAAAAATATACTGAATTCTTGTATTTTTTTGTATTTTTGGTATTTAGTGAATTTTTAAAAGATTTTTTTTACAATTTTTTTACTTTTTAGGTGTATTTATGTTAGATGTGTTTAAAAAGTAAAAAAAATTGCTTAAAATATTAAAAAAATTTAGTAAAAATAAAAAAAATACAAAAAATAAAAAAGTAAAATTTTTTGAAAGGTGTTTTGGAAAACTGTAAAAAAATAAAGAAATTAAAAAATCAATTTTTAATCAGTTAACAAAATAGGCCTATGTTATAATACACAAATTTTAAGATCACTTGTAATGATGACACTATCCAATAAATAATTTGATTTTGATATAGGGAGTTTTCTTAAGTGTGCAAGGGCACACCATGTGCCACTTACACAAAAAGTGTAAGTGTAAGGTATAAGTATAAGTATAAGGTGTAAGTGTAAGGTGTAAGGTGTAAGTGGGTTGCATATGGTGTGTAACCTCAAAAAATGTGTAAGTGTAACGTTTAATTTTTTACAAAAGGTGTAAGTGTAAGGTGTAAGGTGTAAGTGTAAGGTATAAGGTGTAAGTTGCACACCATAACCAAACCCTATAGCCTGATTGGATTAGTGGAAGCAAGTCAATATTTTTTCTAGGTTTAGAGTTTGAAGGTTTTTAAGCCCCGCTCTCTCTCTCTCTCTCTCTCTCTCTCTCTTCGCTATTCCAGCAGCAGGGCAGATCAATTCATATATTCTCGTCCCTGTAAAACGAAAAATTATTCAATGCAAACATGACCAACACAACAACATCCAAGTCTATCGCCAGCTCTTCTTCGGCAATTGCGAACAATGTAGATCTCCTTACAGAGATTCTCATACGCGTTTCTCCCAAATCCTTACTCAGATTCAAGTCTGTTTCCAAGAATTGGCTCAATCTCATCTCCAACTCTAACTTTGCATTCAACCACGCCCTCCGAAATCGCAATTCCTCCATCTCTGGCTTATATTTCACATCCCTCGACTCTTGCTCTGCAAAGGAACAAGTGAAGTCTGTCTCGCTTCAAGGCCATCAAAATCTCCCCACACTCGCCTTCCTCGACCACGGTGCTGGATCAGAATTTCCAATCAGGATTCAAAGCTCTTGCAATGGATTACTCTTGTGTGACTGTGTTCAAATTGTTTGGGATTGTAATAGGACCGTTGTTGATCGTATTACAATGAGTTACATTATTTGTAATCCGACTACGCAAAAATACAAACTACTTCCTCAGCCTTGTGGATGTGTTTCTGGATCGTATGGTTGCTTAGCTTTTGATCCTTCAAAATCATCGCACTACAAAGTTTTGTTAGTATTTAATAGTACTAATAAATTTGAAATTTACTCTTCGGAGAGTTCATCTTGGAAACAGATTGATTTCAGTAAAGCAGAAAGCTTTTCGGGAGGAGTTTATTGGAATGGAGCAATCCATTGGTTGACCGAAGAAGAAAATGTTCATACTAGATTTGATTTTGATACAGAGAAGCTAATAGAAATTCCAATTGCTCCCAAGCCTAAAATTCTCTCTCTAGACAAGATTAGGTATTCTGAAGAATGTTGTGGCCGTTTACTTCTTATTCAGATGCCTTTGTTTTGTTCTATGGAATTCGAAATCCTTGAGATGGATAGGGACTACCGTGGTTGGATTGTGAATTGCAATGTCAATCTTGCATCCTTAATTAATGAATTGCCTGGGATAGTTCAAAGAACCGATTGTTACGCTTTTCATGTTGCAAGTGTTGTGAAGGGAGAAAACGGAGATGATTTTGAACTAGTGTTAGTTTTTCAACAGCCTCGTGAAGTTATTTGCTATAATGTGAAGTGCAAGACAATGAAGGTGATTATTGATTCGGTTACAGCTGACTTTGATAAATTTATTTGTGATCATGGTCCTTACAGACCTTTTAGATTCATTGAAAGCCTATCCCCTGTTTGATCAGATCAATAATGTCCAACACGTCGGAGCAGACTTTCTTTCTTCTTCTTTTTTGGGTAGAACTAGTCATAAATTTTGTTCTTTTATTTTTTTTATATTATGAATCTACTTCTTAGTGTTAAAGCATGGAATATTTTTCACCGTCATATGTTGCAATAATGTCATTTTTTATCATAATGCTATCATCATCATCATGATCATCATCATCATCATCATCATGAACACAATATGATTTTTACTTTTCTCTAAGTATCTGTTGGGTTGTTGGTCTTGATGCTACAATCATCTGTTTTCATATTTACATTCTGTTTTAAGTTCCATATGGCTGAATTGTGTTTCAAGAAGCTTTGGTGCAATCAACATTGTGTTCTTATAATCTTAATTGATCTTTAGGGCGGAGCAAAATATCATAATCTGGTTTGATCCGAACCAAACCATATGATTCTATTTGGTTTTCTTAATGTACAATTTAGTCCTAATTCTTAAAATAAGCAAGTCATACTTGGCAATTCGGTCTATGGTTTATAGTTATAGTTTTGGTTTGGTGACCATTTACATATATATATATACTAGAAGATGACCTGTGTGATACACAAGAATTTATTTTTAAAATAGAAAATTAATTGTGAGTCTCAATACTTTGTGTAGAAAATTTTAACAATTAAAAGTTAAATACAAACAGATTTATTAATAGTTGTTGAGGATTTTTGTCACTGTGTGTGGTCCTATGTAAAATAAGCTCATAAAAATAATCTTTCAAAGTTTATCAAAAAAAAAAAAAATGTGTATTTTCAACCTGAAATCAAATCATCATTTGTGTTAATCAAATTTACCAAAAATCATGAATTTCACTTGTATCAAAATATTTTTTTTTTCCTGAAAAAAATAAAAACAACAAAAACTTCTATAATATACAAATTATGACTTAGTTATAACTCATTGTGTATTATTTTGGTTATTAATCGATGAGGTCTTTGCTAATTTCTTTTGTTCTTAGTTATGTCTAAGGTGGTGCATTGAATCTTTAATTATATTTCAAATGGTGTTTGATTATGATTTATTTAAATATTTTTACATGACAATATTTAAATATTTTATTACACAAAAAAGTACTTAAGGTGGGTTGACTCAAATATAAAATTTATACTTATATCAGTAAGATCATAAGAGTTATTCATATTGATGCATAAAAAATTACAAATTCAAATCATAAACAGTGCCTTCAAAGAGAATCAGACACAAAATCTCTATAACCTTAATAATTTTAGTTTTCAAAGGGGTTCTGATTAATTATATGACATATCATAATAATCGCATAATTTTTATTTCAGCCAAATTTTTTTTAGCATATCTTTTTTGGCAAAACTAATGAAAGTATTATAAATTCAAATTTTTTATTTAAAAGTTATTCAAGAAACATCAATAGGTGTCTTAAATATACACAATCATTTTCAATGAATCATTATTTTTTAAAATAATACTTCACACTATTTATTATTTGACATTTATCAATTTATCTTTTAAAACTTAACCAAAAAAAAAAGTATTGAATTCTATTATTTACAAAAGAATAATTTTAATTTTAATATAAAATAAACTATTTATTTTAATAATCTTAACCTTATCGTTCTATAAAAGTATTACTTGAATACTTATATATAATAAATTTAGTTAAATTATTTGTTTATTTTGATAATTTTAGTTCTGTTGTGCTATAAAAATGTAATTATCATAAAATGATTTTATATGAAATATATATATATATTAAATTATACGACAGTAAAATAAATTTTTATTTTGATATTAAAAATAATAGTTAAATTAGAAAGAAGATTACTAATATAAAACTAAAAATAATTCTAATTATTAAATTTTATTTTTATTTTTACATTTATTTAGAAAATAAAAATATGTAGAAATAGAACTATACAAAATTTGTTTAAAATATTAAATATAAATATATTGTGATTGGATTAAAAAGAAAACATATGAACTAATTATGTAGAGATGTCGTGGAGGCGTGTTTTGGAATGGTGCAATCCATTGGTTGAATGATGAGAATGTTAGTCTTAGACTTGACCTTGATACGGAGAAGCTGATACAAATGCCAAATCCTCCGAGGCCTGAAATTGATTCTTTAAACACAATTAGGTATTTTGAAGAATGTGGTGGTCATATGCTTCTCATCCATTCACATTTGCACTATGGAATTCAAAATCCTTGACATGGACAAAGATGCTTATTGTTGGACTGTGAAGTGCCGGATCAGTCTTAGTCCCTTGGAATCCGCATTCCGTGAGATAGTTCACGGTACTCGAGTTTGAGTATTTAATTTTCTAGCTGTTGTGGAGGGAGCAAATAAAAATGATTTGGCAGTTGTGTTGGGTATTTCTTGTAGCGATTCCGATTTTGACCCGGTCAGCTTACAGGGGTCTGTTGGAAATGGTTATAAAATTTTGGATAAAATCAGAATTTTTTCCTAAGTTCGGTCTATTTTTTAGGTGGGCCCCGAGTGTCGATTTACTCGGGTCAAAGTGGTAACGCGTTCTATGCCGCGTTGTGATTCACGTGGTATATTTGGTTGCTCAAAACCATTACCAAGTGAATAGGAAATTGAAGCCAAAGTGTGCTCCATGGAAATGACAGTGGTGGTGCATTAGGGCCTACTTGTAGACACTCACCTAGAGATTCACAGAGCTTATATTCATGTAACAGATATGGTTTAAAATGGAAATGGTTTCATATCTGTTGTTACATCTCAGCATTGCATGCTTTATAGAAAGAGAAGTAAATTGTTTTATCATGAGTACGGCATGAGCATATTCCTCTTTAGTCTTGTCATGGTCCATATGTTGTGTAGTATATCTCTACTGGGCTGTGACTCACCCTATAAGGGAAACCATTTCAGGTACATGTGATATGCCTCCGCCAAGGCATTGACTTGGAAGGACTCGAAGCTGAGGCTTTATTTTTGTTTTATTGTTATTTGTTGAATGTAAGCCCAGGGCTGTATTTGCGTTGAGTTGAAACTCCATTTTGTGTAACCAAGAATGTTCTTGGATAAATTTGTAAGCCTGAAGGGCACTTATTATCTGTTCGACTTCCATTTCATACTTGTTGTAAAATGTATGCTTGGGATTGGAACTGGGGCATTGAGATGTGAATAGTATTTATTTGGCATTTTGGGATTTCATGGAAATAGATGTAGGGAATAGTTAGCTATATATATGTGTTTGTCTATCAGATGGGTTTTATAGCATAAATAGATATACCTTGCCCAATTTTCGGGGCGTTACAACTTGGTATCAGAGCTATCGGGTTTGAATACTTGAGGCTCGTGGGAAGTGGTTTTTAACACAGTGGGTTCATTTCGCTAGTGAGAAATGTTGCATATCTTATGTGCTATGTGATAACATGTTTATGTGACTATGTGGGTATAGGGTTAAACTTCTGAGATGTGATTTGCGTCCATGAAATTCTTTGAGGTCCTTTTAGAAAAACACTTGATCAATGCTATTTCTATTTGGAAGTCTTTGAATGTTTGTGAAAAGAGTCAATATCTTTGAGGGGTAACTCGTATGTGCTCTATGTGACTATGTGCTTATATGGTTTTCCTTATGTGATGTAGATACATGTGTAGGTTTATGTTTAATTCATATGCAGCGTGTTAGAACTAGTGTGGAGTACTTACTTCTAAGCTAAATTTTGTCTCTTATATAAGATGTCATAAAGGAAGAGAGGCCGTAATAGAGGCACTTGGGGTGCCCGGGATGTTCTTATGTAGGAGGATACCTTTTTCCAAAGAAGAAGGTGTAAGCTAGAGTAATATGGCCAGGATGATTAGTCAAGATGTTGTGGAATTAGTATTGAAGCATAGGTTAACTGATTTGTATGATTGTGGGTGTAAATGTGACCTTAACATAGTAGAGTTTGTGTTGCGTAGCGACTGGTTTGTTGTTATGAGGAGTTAATTATTTTTCAATTTTATATCAAGTTTGTGGAAGTGGACTAGATAAAAAATCTTAGAAGTAGAATGAGTTAGAGATTAACCTTATTGAAATAGTATGGTTTGGTTGTGACTTTAATGATGATTAAAGTGATCTAAGATAATATGCTTGGGATTGTTGACATTAGAACACGTAAAACTAGTTCTAAATTTTCTTGGAATAGACGAAGTAAGTTATAGTTGAATTGTTTCACTTTCTTGATGGGCTACTTGTGAGGTTAGTAATGGGCCCTAGGCCAATTATTTTGTATGTGTTTGGGAATAAACGTAGTCTTAGCATGATAGAAATTATATCGTGTAGTAAGAGATGTGTTTCTTAGAGAGTTTGTTTTATTCATAATTTTGCTACAAATCCTAAGAGGGCAAATGAGATAAATAATTTTGAGATAGATCGAAATGAGATTAAATTTGATTTGGGTTACGCCATTTGATGGGATTATTAGTAGTAACAACATTGACTCGTGAGTCGATATTTTAGAACATGTAGGCGAGTTCTGAGGGCCTTCGAGATTGGTGGAGTCCATTGTCCTAGAGTTAGTCCTTGATATTCTTGAGTGCAATAAATGAGTGTTGAGGGACATGATGTGATGGATGTTGTGGAGTTGTGTTACCAACCAATGTTTTTAGAGGAAATTTTTAAGTTTGTGAGGATATTATAATCCTAAATCAGGTGCTTCAGGATAATTAGTGTGGTGGTAATTTGAGTATTTCCACGGGAATTTATGCTTGATCCATCGAGAGTGATTGATGTTAACTTTTATAGTTACTTTTATGTATGAGTTAGAAATTGTGAAGATGGAAGGTATATGAGAGCGTTTTGAGTTAAATTTGGTGTGTGTCATGATGATGTGGTTCATGTAATAGAAATGGAGATTATTTTTTACCCTTTGTCCTTTAGCTACAAGATTGTTTTATATCCTTGGAGTAAGAGTTGTGAATCCCTTATATTGATCCTTCGTTTTGCTATAAGTGTGGTAAGAATTCCTGTTGTTGG